TGGCAACAGCAACAGCAAAGCGGGTTTTAAATTCAGTATTATATATATAATTATTTATTTATTATTAATTATATATATAAACTACAACAGAGAGAGCATCGACGGCGATGGAGGCTGCAATGGCAACAGCAACAGCAAAGCGGGTTTTAAATTCAGCCAGCAACACCGAAATATTGCACGTACCGACGGTTCGCGATAAAATAAGAAATAGAGAGAGAGAGAAAAAGACAACAAATTGTTATATACCAATCCGTTCTCTCTCTCTTTTTCTCTTTCTCTCATAACATTCTTACAAATTCGATCACCCTTACCCTTTCTTTCTCTCTCTTTCTCTTTTCTACCTTTTTTTTTTCTCTCTTTCTTTTTCCCTTTTTCTTTTTCTCTTTCACACACACTCTCTCTCTCTCTTCCTTTCACTCTTTTTCTATTTCTCTCTCTCTCCCCCTCTCTGTCTGTCCTCTTTTAAATATTATCCAAAGTATTTTTCCTTATTTTATTTCCGAGAGGTGTTCACACTTGATTCACAGGGGTGGACCGACAGTAGTAAAGATCAACGACGAACGCGACATATTCACAGGGCACGCACGTGGTCACTCTGCTGGAAAAAAAAAAACACGCACACATATAAAGATAAAAAAAGAGAAACAGAGAGAGAGAGACACACAGAGAGAGAGAGACACACAGAGAGAGACAAAAAGGGAACAATAATACACACATCGTAGATAAAAATATGTAAGTGGGCCGGTCGAAAACTCGCGTTTATTTAACGAACGATAAAAAGTCTAAAGAGAGAGAGAGAGAGAGAGAGAGAGAGAGAGAGAGAGAGAGAGCGAGCTAGTCAAAAAGAAGAGAGAGAGAGATAATGTAAAATGATTAAAGAGAGAAACACGTACGAATTTTCGAGGATTCAAGTTTTTCTTTGTCCAGCACGTTTTATATATCACGTAGATTGTTTTTATATATAATATATATACACATATACATATATATATATATGATTTTAATTAAATTTGTAATTTTGTCGATTATAAAAAAAAGAAAAAAAGAAAATATAACTATAAACGTTAACGATGACGAAGATGACGACGATTATTACTACTACAACGATCAGAAACGACGACGACGACGACGACGACGATGACGACAATAAAGACGACGAGGAGAGAGAGAAAGAGAGAAAGAGAGAGAGAGATAAACTCTTCTTCCTTTCTATCTCTTCATCGCGTATACGAGCTTGCGACGAACGCGCTCGTTTCCCCAACCGAACAAAACCACCCCGTCGACTGGCGGGTAAACTCGAGCGCAAGCAGGTGCGCACCCCCGTCGTCGTTCCTCTTTTACCCTCTCTCTCTATCTTTCTCTCTGTCTCTCTGTCTTTCTGTCTCTATTTCTCTCGCACTTTTTCTCTTTTTCTCCCTTTCTTTCTCACACACGTATGCCTCCCTCTCTTCGCGATACCCCCACCATTTTGCACCCCACACGCGCCCTACCCTATATCTCCTTACTTCCTTCAACCCTCTTTCTCTCTCTCACTCTCTCACTCTCTCTCTTTAGATATACCTTTCGTCCGTGGCGCGTTACGTTAGCCAGTTCGATAGATGATTGCGTTTAGATATATTGTAAAAAAAAAAAGGAAGAGAGAGAAAGAGAGAGATTTTAAAGGTCAGGAAGAAAATTTCAATACATATAATGTATATATATATATATATATATATATATATAAAATCAAGAATCGAATACAAATGAAGCACGTTGTGAGTAATACATCAATGTGAGTATACAAATATACGTATAATTTAATTAACACGATATTAATTTAAAAAGAAAAAAACTAAATTAAATAGTTACAGAGAGAGAGAGAGAGAGAGAGAGAGAGAGAGAAAGAATATAGGGCCGATATTAAATAATTTTGCATTGAATGTGTCTCGACAATTAAATTAATATCTCCCAAAGAAAATAGGGAGTGAAAATTACATACATAAGCGAAGAGAGTTAAAGGATTATAGGAAATTAGAGAAATAGAGAGAGAGAGAGTTTGTGGTAAAGTGTTGCTACGCGCGTTTCCTCGTAAGGCTCTCCTCGCGTTTTTTTATACACACTTCGGTTGACCCGCTTTCGCACTTACCCTACCCGTATTACATGCCACCCCCGCGACGGCTAGATTATCTCTTGCTCTCGACCTCCTCTCCCTCCTCCTCCTCCTCCTCCTCCTCCTCTTCGAGTCGATATCCCACGGTGTTTCCTTCCTCGTCACTCTCCTGACCTTTCACCTTTCACGAGGTTCGGCCTGCTTTTGCAGATCGGCCCGAAAAGTGCGACCTACCTTATCGGCTCTCTCGTTCTTGCCCTTTTCTTCCTTTTTTTCTTTCCCTTTCTATCTGTATCTATCTCACCCCCTTACACGTACACCAAAGCAACCCCCCTACTACTCTTCGATTTTCCCTCCTTTGGCTGGGCTATCCGCTCGTTCGAGCGACCTTCTTACGCGAGATGCGCGCATATGTGCGCGGAAGGGATGAATGAGGGACTATATATAATCATTTTTCAAGATATTTTCTTTTATATTTCCTAGTATCTATCTATCTATCTCTCTTTCTCTTTCTTTATTCTTTTTTTTCTTTAATAATAGGAAGCGGCTTCGAGGATTCTATCAAAGAATATATATTTAAAGTAGCAGCACCCCTTTGTCTTCTAAAAACTCCTATCCTTCTTGAAACGCCCCTTCGATTGTAACCCTAAATGCACACAGCAAGCATTTATTTATTTTTAATAATAATTCAAATTGCTTAAGGAAACGTACATACGTGTTTTTTGGAGAACAAAAGGGTTCTTTGTTTTTGAATCTATTGTAGAATTAATTTCTACATTTAATAAGGTGATATAATAGAGTAGGATGATAGAGTAATAGAAAAGAGATRATTAAAAGATTAAACTTAAAGTATATTGTCAATGAAATAATTAATCATTTTATTGTTCTTTACAGAACGTATATATGTATCTATCTATTTCTCTCTCTCTCTTTCTTTTTATTTCTTTTTTTTCTTTAATAATAGGAAGTGGCTTCGAGGATTCTATCAATGAATATATACTTAAAGTAGCAGCACCCCTTTGTCTTCTAAAAACTCCGATCCTTCTTGAAACGCCCCTTCGATTGCAACCCTAAATGCACACAGCAAGCATTTATTTATTTTTAATAATAATTCAAATTGCTTAAGGAAACGTACATACGTGTTTTTTGGAGAACAAAAGGGTTCTTTGTTTTTGAATCTATTGTAGAATTAATTTCTACATTTAATAAGGTGATATAATAGAGTAGGATGATAGAGTAATAGAAAAGAGATGATTAAAAGATTAAACTTAAAGTATATTGTCAATGAAATAATTAATCATTTTATTGTTCTTTACAGTATTCTTTATGATAGATTTAACAAGGAAAATTATTAATAAAGATGATAGCAACAAGATATCATGAATTCTCAACGACATAGTACAGGTAATCTTTATGGGTAGTATACTTTTAAAATATATGGTATATAATTTTGTTTATAATATATGGTTTTGTAAAACATGAAGATTGATTTATATGTTGAATCTCTTAAGATATGTTTCAATTGTCGTGGATATGATTATAACAGGAAAAGTTGCAACAAACAAGTAATTTGCTGAACGTATAGTTTAGGAAAACATCAAAATAGAAAGAATATAAATTACTGTTTATTATTTACAATAATTTTATAATGCAATTAGATTTTTCTAAAGTAGTTATATGTTTTATATTTAGTAATAGTTGCTAGGGTTTATTTATGAGGAAGGCTGATAGTAACTAGAATGAAATATTAATATCTATAAGTTGGTAAGACTGTAAAGTCTACCGAACTGTTGAGTAACTTTATATATATATACTATTAAAATGAGAATATGTATATATTGTATATTTAAGATAAATTATTAGGATATATTTGAGAAAAATATTGAGTGTAACTTACTTAAAAATAGTATACATATTAGTAAGATTGTAAGGACTAATAAACCGGAAGTTGTACGAACTTATTCTAGTTTTATTTTCATTCTTTTTAAAATCTATTGTAATAAAGTTACAATCTTGTTATACGATTTTCCGATAATTTGCGAAATAATTGCGAATAAACGACATTGTGATAATTTGATATATATGTGAGTAAAAAAAATGTATACACCTGTAAGTAGTAAAAGCGTATCTATGGTCTTCCTGATTTAATAAAAGTAGTGTATGTATGCGTACGCTGTGACGTTGTAGTCAGGCATAGCAGTGCATCATTGATACAGTCACAAGTCATTTTTACGTATTATGCATATCGTAACGTGGTATTGAGAATAGCTTTTTTACTATAGGGAGAACAATTTTTAACAATCGAACCACTTTCCAAAGGGAGTATCCACGTGTCCGCATCGCGAGATATAGGTGTGGCTCGCATACTAACTAAAAAGCTCCCTGTTTTCATTTACCACCTCTTATTATAAAGGGGGGTCACGGTTCCCATAGTAGATTTCAACATTCCTCCCCCCTAGGTAAGCTGGGAGAGGTTTCTTCCAGGTACTTCTATCCTTACTAATGAACTGCAACATACCTTCAGTGTTTGGTATTAAGAACAGCTGGGCAAACTTGAATACTTGTAGTACTACACCAAAACTTTGTTACCAAATATCATTGACGTATCCGAATGAGTAATTTTTATACAAGAAACGATTTGTTACGCAACCCTAATATTTGAATGATTATAAATAAATAAAAAGTAACAAAGTTTAGTTATTAATAAACACATGTTAAGAATGAATGTACGTACGAAAAGGTTCAGTCTTTGTGCGATTCTATTATTATTAGGGGCACTTTATTTCTTTTCAAGAAAATCTTTTATCCTAGATACAAATAGTAAGAATATAGTTTCTCTCAGATTGTTGCTCAATGCTGCTATAAAAGCAGCAGAGTTAGGTGGATATGAAGTCGTTTATGTACACGATCAAACAACATTTAACATTGAAAGTAAAGGGAAAACTAAAGAAGGTAATGCTTATTATCTTCAAGAAAATATATTCTATATTGAGACTTTTTTCATTTATTGTATCTTTCTTATTTTAAATAGGTGTAAATAATCCAGTAACAGCAGCAGATTATAGATCACACTGTGTTATGTATCATTCTTTAAAGGATGCATTTTCAGGCATTACTGTGATATCTGAAGAAGCATCAAAAGACTGTGATAAAGTATTTGTACCTGATCCTTGGGTTCCTGTTAGTAATCTCAAAGAATATGATATCGGAGATGACTTTGAAAATATTGAAGATATCACTATTTGGATTGATCCTTTAGATGCTACTAAAGAATTCACTGAAAATTTGTTACAATATGTAACGACTATGGTTTGCATAGCTGTTAGAGGGAAACCTGTAATAGGTGTTATTTATAAGCCATTTGAAACTAAAAAAGAACATAAATTATATTGGGCTTGGGTTGGTCGCGGAGCATCACCAAATTTATATAATTTGTCCAAGGTAATATATCTATAATAAATTATTCTTTACATGAATTATATTAATGTCTACTTTTCTTTAACAGCATGGAAATAATGAACCACCAATTTTAATTGTATCACGGTCACATGCTGGTCAAGTTCATAATATTTCCAAGATTGCTTTTGGTGATTTTCAAATTGTTTCTGCTGCAGGCGCTGGTAATATATATTTCTTTAATTATTCATAATGAACAAATGCAATGTCAATATATATTCTATGTTATTAAAGAAATTATATTTAATGTTTAGGTTTCAAATTTTTAGAAGTAGCAGTTGGAAATGCTACTGCATATATTCATACAACCGCTATTAACAAGTGGGATATATGTTCTGGAACAGCTATTATTAGGTAGATATTTTTTAACACTTAGCCAATTGTGCAGGCCACAGCAAACTGTATGCTTTCTATTTGATTTTCTCATCCAGTTGGTTAAGTGTAAATATTAAATTTATATACGAAATTATTATTTTATAAAATTAATATCATTTTCTTTTTTATATGTAGCGCTCTTGGTGGAAAGACTACATCATTATTTGATGGACACTTTATTAATTATGATTCTAGTGATACTAAAACATTAACATCCGGTCTTTTAGCTACAATGACTGGTCATAATTGGTATTTGGATAAATTTTTAAATATATAGTTGAAATTTGTTGTTTTATATTCGTAATTTTTTAACATCAAAATCTAGTCATTATTTTGTATAATACATTAACAAGATCCTTGTTATCTTATCTTTGCAACAACTATTTTTAACAATAACGAAAAACTATTCTTTGATTTATATTTTATAAATATAAAATTTATATAATTATATACATATATGTATATATATATGTATATAATTATTGCAACAATTTTTTATAAAAAAACATAACTAAATCTACTCAAAATTACATGTGTATATAAATAAAAAGAAATTGTTTATAATCATAAATGATACTAATATCTATTAAAAATATCATTGTTAATATTTATTATAAATTATTCGATTGTTTTATATAAAGAATAAGATATCATGAAAAGTTAAAAGCCAATCGAAATCGATATATATCGTTCTCGATGACGTACGCGATTGGTCATTAAGGGTGAAATTCGACCAATCGCTTTCGTTAGTTTTACGTAAGTTACGCGATGATAAGAACATGGCGGATGCATTTTATGTTTTATACCTTTGACGTTTCAGTCTATGCCCTATGTTGGGCTTTATCGTATTTTATCAAGATATAATATATTGATGCAAAAAGCTTGGCCTGTCTTGTAGAACACATCGAGTGATACCAGTCTAAATTAAAAAATAATAAAAAATGCAAATTTTCAATGTTTAATTGATGTTAAACTTTTAAATAAGTTAAAGATAAGGAAGAGGAAAAAAATGAGAAATACAAACAATTATTGCATTCCGCAATGAATAGCGGTTATGTTTTCCAATGGAAAGTGGTTTAACAACAATGGCGGGACTGTCTCCGTCGAAAGTAAGCTCTTTAATATGTCACTCATCTCCTCACAAAAGAAAAATTCTTTGCATATACCTTAATTTAATACGGATACCTTGCTCAGTTCTCATATTAAAAATAACGATAGCACGAACAATTATTAACGAGGAAAATAAATGTTTAACAATAAGATATAATGTAGTCCACGTATTAGATTAAATTTAGTGTCAAATTGGGACGCTTATTTCATTAATTTTTTACGTAAATTTATTTTAATTATTTATCAGTTCTGAATTACTATTTATTGTCATTTAAATCCGTCATTGAGGTATTTTAAATCGAAAATACTATTTAAAATAATGGAATCTTCGAAAGTTCCTTTTATTTTAATTATTTATTTTATGTGTCATACTCCTTATATCTGATAACTTTTTGAAGTTTGCCCTTGATGATTCATACATCCTATTAATTTATCATAATGTTGTATATAATTGTTTATATATTTTATGCAATGTGTCAATTATGTACATTATTTAAAAAAAAAAAACAATTAACAAAGAAATAATCATCTATATAAAGAGAAAAGGATAAATTAAATGAATTTGTTTAATTAATTTAGCGGAGGTTACAGAAAGAATTAATGTCATTAATACGTGAACCACCACCTGGTGTCAGAGTAGATGGTGATTCAGCTGGACAAAATTTGACGCAATGGATTGTACACATGGAAGGTGCAAAGGGTACCTTGTATGAGGGTGAAAGATTTCAATTACAATTTAAATTCAGTTCCAAATATCCTTTCGATTCGCCAGAAGTAACATTCATTGGTAATATACCAGTTCATCCACATGTTTATAGTAATGGTCACATTTGCTTATCAATTTTAACTGATGATTGGTCACCTGCACTCAGTGTGCAAAGTGTATGCTTGAGCATTGTGTCAATGCTAAGTAGTTGCAAAGAAAAGGTAAAAGATCTATTAGAAACATCTGACAGGCATTTATTAAATACAAGACTATAAATTTTAGAAAAGGCCACCGGATAATTCTTTCTATGTGAAAACGTGTAATAAAAATCCAAAGAAGACTAAGTGGTGGTATCACGGTAAGGAACACAAAGTATTCAAGTAATTAATAATAAAGGAAAGTATTGTATAAGTTGTACACTGTACAATAATATTTTTACTTCTTTTTACTAGATGATAGTGTCTAAAGGCAAGGCCCATACAAAAATCTTCAAGTTGCAAATGTATGGGTATTATTGGACCAAATGGAAATAAATGTTTCCTGTGTCTTAAAAGGAACATTGACGAGTTTTACAAGTAAATTGCTGGGATTTTAATACATAGCTGAACATGTAGGTGCATAAGCTAGAAAAGTGATAACAGCTTTATGACATACTTACGAATCGTAATAAAAGTAAAGAAATAAAAAGGAAAGAAAGAAAATAATATGGCAGTTCAAAGTATGGAAGTCGAATTATTACATTGTTAATGATAATGAAATGTATTACATCTTACAATTAGATTTTAAAAAAAAAAAAAGAATATTAAATTCATAATGCTAAGAGACAAACAGTTAAAGATAAGGTTTAGATAAAAGAACGGTAAAATTTATTGTTTTTTTTTTTTTTTTTATAGAATAGCAAATCTCTATTTGTTAATAACAATTAAGACGTATTAGAAAAGGATCTCTTATTATTATGTAACATTAAAACAATCATGGATACTATCGCACGATGTAACTTCTTTGTTTATGACATTAACTATCGCAATAAGAGTGAAGCATGGAAAGTAATTGAACGTTAGTTATGCATAATCTACATTATAAAGAAAAAACAAAAAAAATGGAAAGATATAATTAACGTGAGTAAGAATACAGGTAGCACCATTCAAAAGTTATTTCATACTTTTTATCTCTTTTACCCCATTTTGAAAAAGTTGAACATTATCTTTATGTAATCATTGTGTTTTCTCTTATCTTTTATGAAGTAGTATTAACAAACGTGATCATGAGTTTATCTTTATACGAAAATTGGTTTAGTTTGCGTTCGATATGTATATATATACATAATATATATATATATGTGTGTTAGTAGTCTTTCCTTTATAATGTTTAAACGATGTTAAGTACGATAGCTCTTCATATTCTAGTATGATAATACGGCACCGCGTGTTTAACAATCTTTTTATGTTATACATTTTTTATTAATTTAACGAAAATCTAGTGTATCTTTTTCCGTATTAAAAATAAAGTCTATTGCTTTGCGTTATATTATAATACACCGATATTATGCATTTCCATGATTGCTTATCATCGAGAGGAATAAAAAATTAGAGTAGAAATGTATTATACTGTTAAAAAATAATCCCTGACAAATTGTTATTTTCTACCGTATAATCTAAATTTCTCGCGTGTAATCCAAAAATTTCAACGCGGTAGGCAGAACAATCATGGTCAATGTTTGCGATCGATGATCAAACATACGAGCTATTCTGATGGAATTAATAAATGAATTAAATAAAGTATGTCGTGATTTCAAATTCTAAATAAGGAAAATAAAATAAATCAAAATAAATAATTAATCAAGCTTGTGTGGTTTGATTCGTAAAGAACGAGTAAACGTATCCGTGACATTTGACAACAAGTTAGTATGACTAACGACAGATAGCGATCTCCAATTAATGATTCACGATATGATACGATACGATACGAGACAGTAAAGTAGATATAGTTTATTTGAAATAAATTTAAGATGTCTCCTTGCAAAAAAAACCAATCGATGATCCATCGTTATTCGTAGATTTCACTTATACGTCCCCTATACAAAAATTTCATTAGTGGAAAACTAACGAAGTCTGACGTTTGAATAAATGCATTTGGTGAAACAATTTTTATTTTATACGTAGATGGATATGCATAGTTATATACATATATAGATAGACATATATACATATATATATATATATATAAATACATAAGCACGAGCATCGAATGAAGGATGGAAGGAACGAACGGGCAATTGATTTTGTCGAGCACCAAGCAAGAACCTTGAAGCGTGTATCTAATCGCAAGCGTATCGGTTCGAATGTCGGTCATCGCGTTTAAGTTTTCCCAATAACAATTAAAAATCTCATTATCGAAGGACAATACCAATAATAATCTTAAAATCACAAATGAAATAAATACAAATGAATATAGCTATTATAATAATTTTTTGAATAAAAATTCAAACCCCGAATCGAATAATTGGTATGATTTGATCGACAAAATGTTTTTCTATTTGTCCTCGAATAAATTAGAAACGCAATCTATCGTTCCCTTAGCTTATTTGCAATATGTTCACGTTCAACGCCATTAAGATCAGCCATTCTGAGCTTCTAACTCGTGCGTGATACAAAACACTCAAGGATAGAAGAAGAGTCTCTCTCTGAAGAAATTTCGCTTTGTCGTTATACTAGTTTAAAAGGTATATCGAGTGAGAGAGAAAGAGAGATAAAATAACAAAGAGAAATAGAGAAATAGAGGGAGAGAGTAAGAGAGTAAGAGAGAGAGAGAGAGGGAGAGAGAGAAAAGAGATACGAGTCGACCCGCGCCTGGAAACTACACTCTTGTCGAACTAAGTGGGGGCAGTTCGGGCAAGTTTAGTACGAATATCGATTCAGTCTCGCGCAAACCACCCCCGTGTGTGCCGATGCTTCAGCTCCACCTTTTGGGGGAGTTTTTTTCCACCTCGCTTACGTCCGACGACGCTCGACATTATAAACATAGATTCGGTGAAAGAAGGAGGGAGAGGTGAGAACGAGTTAACGAAAGAAATAACACAAAGGAAAAAGCTTTAGCACGACTAGAACTCTACGTTTGAACGTTGAAACAAACAACACCTGCGTATCGAATAGTCAACGGGAATATAGAAAAATAATATAAAAGGGAAATATACATATACAGTATATTATCTCGGTTGGAACCCCTTCTAAAAAGTATACACACGCAGTTAGTTCTTCTCTAGGATCGGCAAGCATTGGTCCATGAAATGAGACTAGTGTGTAAGCTCTAAGGGTGGTGGTAGAGGTGGGTGGTGAGGTGAGGTGTGCTGATGGTGGGGGGAGTTGTTTGGGAAGGTTGGAGAGGATGATAGTGGTAGGATCTGAAACTAGGGTTGAAGACACCGAAGGAAGCTTTTATGTCTCCCGTTAAAGGGAAGCCTTAGAACTTAGGAAGAGGACACAACACGGCGGAGGTGACTCCGACTTACCGCCGATCGAACATGTCGCGATTTCACGAGGGACGGACGAAATCGTGTTTCTACTCTTGACTACTTGTCTTTATCGAGAATATTATCTACCTAAAGGATTAACGAAAAAGGTGTTTGGTGATTCGATCATCGATAGACATGTCTTCGATATCAGCTCAAGGTGTCGTCGAGAGAGCCAGCGCTGAATTGACCAAGAGGATCAACGGTTTGGGATTGAGGACCTCGAAGCATCATGGTTCGTGATAAAATATATATCTTTTTATTTTATTTTATTTCACTCGTTCTCTCTACTCTGACTCTAACTACCCTCATTTAATAATTTTCTAAACAAATGTGCAACGAAAAATATCATATCTCGAACAAGATTGTTGTACAATTTACATTTTGTTCATCGTTATATATGATTTATTTGTCGAAGTTTAATTATTCATCTGACTTATCGTCTATGACTACTTTATATGCAACCTCGGCGGCATTCATTTTCGGTAGAAGAGGCTCGTTACGTAATAACGAACGAGTAAGAGGTGCCGGTGGTATTACAAAGATAACAACGCGTCAAATCAACGCGTTGTTTCCCCTTTTTCTCTCTTTCATCTTTCCTTTTTTTTTTTTTTTTCTTTTTTTTTTTTCTTTTTAACTAGTAATTAGAAACTTTAGATAATTAGGTAAAAAGATGAGAGGGAAATATATAAAATAGAAAATATTCGTATTACATGGGAGTAAACAATACGATATATAATTTATTCCGTCTCATTTTTTTTATCATTTTTCAACATAATTTTCTTCTTATCGTCATTTTCGTAATCGATCCCGACGCTCGTTAAAATACGAAAGGTGAATGTGTATATATATATATATAAAAGGGAAAATGAAGATTTAAAGTCTTTCCTTTCATCCATCGTTATGCAATTTTGTCGACGAGTCAGTCGTCCACTCGTGGTCGTGTTGTGTTCACGGTCCGATTAACCCGATCCTTCTCGTTCTCGGCCATTAAATGGTATGCCTCCCCATCCTTTATTTTCCCAACTCGAATTATTTACGAAGCGTCGATAGTCGCCGCAATCTTAACTGCAGTGAAATCGATAGCATTCGGCCGCGTGCGTATAAAAATAGAGAGAGAAAGAGAGAGAGAGAGAGGCTTGATGTACTTAGGGAGAGAAAGCGAAAGGAGAAAAAGAAGGAAAGAAAGAAAATAAAGAAAATGAGAGAGAGAGAGAGAGAGAGAGAGAGAGAGAGAAATAGGAAGCCAAATTTTTACTTTCTTTCCCTTTCATGTTTTTTCCTTTTTCCTTTTTTTCTATTCACAGAACAGCGGTCTCACCTTTTTTTTTATGGAAAAGAAAGAAAAAAAGATATCACGAAGAGTATTTGTTTTGTTATGTTATTTTAATCTTAATAAGGTATCACAGGGAACTTGGACATGAAAAGAAGTAGAACTTAACCCTTCTTTGCATGATTTTTTCTTTTTTTTTTTTAAATAAATCAGGATGATGTAATTAATGCTCTAGATTAAAGGAAAAATATTTTTAAAAAATCCTAGTGGCTATTTTTTGACAACTGCGTTTTGTTGTACGCAATAGTCGCTTAAAAAGTTGCCAGCAACAACAAATATACAGTACAAGGGTTTTGAGTACCTTTTTTTGTTGACTAAATATTATCATTGAAATTTCCATCATCATGCAAAGAAGGGTTAATTTTACTAAGTTGAACGTTTCGTCCCTTCTTTATTGGGACTTCTTCAGCAACTTAATCTTTACAGTTCAGCGTCTTTTTTTTTATTGGGTAGACATACATTTGTCTTTTTATTAATATTCCAACACACAAAACATCTAAACTTCGTTAAATATTCGCTCGTTATTTTAATCGTTCTATGATTTAGTCGTCGTGAACGCCAACTAAAATGACGTTGAGGTTTACGATGAGGGTCGTAAAAAAACATTTCACGTGTGCATGCTACTCTCGATGCACCGTGATCATCCTATAAGTTTTATTGTTACCATTAATAGTAATAATAATAGAAAATAGGAAGGGAAGGATTGTCGAAGAAGTGTAAGGGAAGAAGTAAAAAATATAAAAAAAAGATAAATGAACAAGGGATAAAAATCTTAAAGTAACGCGCGGAAAGTATTTAATCGAAGGTCCTCGCCAATCGAGATGGGGGAAAATAAGAGGAGCAATTCTAAGCCTTGCAACGTTCATTTATTTTTATCTTCTTTCGAGATTATCACTCGAGATAAGTGGAAACTTCTAGGCTTCTCCTTTTCTTTTCCCCCATTGGAAAAGAAAATAAATACGCGACGTTACAAAGTAAGAAATAATAAATATTCTATTCGCCATTTTATACTTGTATTTTTTCTACTTCTTTTTCTTTTTTTCCCCCAAACAACGCGTTGAAGAAAATGATCGAATTTTTAGATCAACCGGTGTACCCATCCTGCTAGGCAGCAAACTCGGTCAGATTTTGTTGTAACTATATTTTCTTTTGATATTTTCAATGCAGGTGGAGGGAGGACAAGCGTCATGGAACGTGTTACGAATGTATTTTGCGGTGGCGGTGGGGTGGCATATACGAATTTGCAAAGCGCGAACAACGTGAACGCGATCCCGGAGAAACCGAGTAGGAGCGTCCCGACGTCGATGAATAACATGTCAACAGGAAACAATAAGACATTGAACAATGGTACAGGTAGCAGACCTAGGATATCACGTAACAAATCTAAAAACGTCAGTCTCGCGAGTGGTGGAACAGGAGGGTATGTCGCACCTAACACGTGGGAACAGTTGTTGCAAGATGATCATTTCCTTGGACGATTCTTTCTTTATTTCAATGCCACTGAGAGAAGGATATTAGCTCAGGTAAATGATTAATTATAAAATAAAGTAATAGGTATAACAATCTTACGGTCTCTGGTAATGATTACATTAACTTTCTTATTTTTGTTTCTGTTCTTTTCTTTACAATTTTTACATGCAAGGTATGCACAAGATGGCGAGACGTTCTATACGCGAGACCAAGACTCTGGGCAGGTTTGATACCAGTAGTCAGGTGCCGAGAAGCTCGATCTATGCCATCCAGCTCGCGTACACGACTTTATGCCTCCTTGGTAAGGCGAGGTTTCCATTCGTTAGTTTTATTGGGTGCCGCGGACGAAGATATACCAGAGTTAACACACGGATTTCCTCTTGCGCAACGATACGTACATTCCTTGTCATTACGATGCTGTGCCGTCACCGACAGGGGTCTCGAAGCTCTCTTAGATCATATGCAGGTAGGATGATTATGATGTTTATGCGTTCATTATTAGCTTTAACAAAACTATAAGGATCATTTATTTAAATGCATTTGTGTTTTATCTTCATTCGTTAGGCTCTCTTCGAATTGGAACTGGCTGGTTGTAATGAAATCACCGAAGCTGGACTTTGGGCTTGTCTAACACCTAGGATAGTATCCTTATCCTTGTCCGATTGTATAAATGTAGCAGACGAGGCCGTGGGTGCAGTAGCCCAATTGTTACCAAGTCTTTACGAATTTTCGCTCCAGGCTTATCACGTAACCGATGCCGCATTAAGATACTTCAGCGCAAAACAGAGTAGCGCCCTTAGCATTCTCAGGCTCCAATCATGCTGGGAACTTACCAATCAGGCAGTAATAAATATTGGTGAGATATCATTTGTGATATCATTTTATTTTTTAACGATCGCAAATGTTCTCGAACGATTTTATTTTCCATTGGAAAATAACATTTTATCGATCACGTTGGTACACGATGATTCGTATGATGTCACGTCTCCTTAGCTTACAATCGTATAATTCATGTTTGCGCGTGTCGATCCGTAAAATACCTCTGTAAATGGAAAAACAAGATCTATGTGTGTGTGTTTGTTTGCGTGCATATATCTAGCTAGCAGACTCGTTTGTCTCTATGTACTTTAACGTTCTAAGAATATGATAAGCACTCTACTACCGGCCGGTTAAAACGTGAAATTGAATCAGTCACACACACGTGCTGAGGATTAAATATAGAATTAAGGAACAGCTTTATTTAGCATTCAAGCTGTCAGTCAGGGTCGTCTCGTATATTTTACGGGGCCAAAGATTAAGAACAAGATAATTGCGGGTCCTTAAAATATTGTCAAAGAAAATAGTTGAGAAAATGCTAAGGAGAAATGTTCTCAAATGTTACTCCGTGATTAATCATAATGTTTAATGAAGATTCAAAGCATACTTGTATATATGCCAAGGGACGAGATCTTGTAATCATAATTCAGCGAACGTTTGCGATCATATAAAATAAATGTCTAATTTAAAATTTGATTAATGCAAATTCATATTATGTCTACTACGTATATCCGTAAATTTAAATGCGTTATAATTTTAGATAACTGGTATCTCTAGCTCATATAATAATTTTTCTGTCGCAGTACATTCCTTGCCAAATTTGACCGTATTGTCACTTTCTGGATGTAGTAAAGTGACGGACGACGGTGTAGAATTAATAGCGGAAAATTTGCTGAGACTTCGTTCCTTAGATTTGAGCTGGTGTTCGCGAATTACAGATGCAGCCTTAGAATATATCGCCTGTGATTTGAATCACTTAGAGGAACTTACATTAGACAGGTAAAGATAAAACCAACGATGTTAAAATGTATTTCTTTGAAGCATACATGCACACACACATATCTATATTGTAATTATTTGAGAGAGATATTATTTACGTTGCTTTTTAACTGTTTAATAGATGCGTCCACATAACGGATATTGGCGTAGGTTATATTTCAACAATGGGATCCCTAAGTGCTGTGTTCTTGAGATGGTGTTCACAATTAAGAGACTACGGACTTCAGCACTTATGCAATATGAGATCCTTACAAGTGCTTTCCGTCGCTGGTGAGTCTCTTTTAAATATGAGATACCTCAATCATTTTTAATAACTATTAAATTAATAAAATCATTATATATTTCTAGGTTGTCCATTACTCACTAGTAGTGGCTTATCTGGTCTGATACAGCTTCGTCACTTACACGAATTGGAGCTAACCAACTGTCCAGGAACGTCGCGTGAGCTCTTTGATTATTTACGAGAACACTTACCACGTTGCCTAATCATTGAATAAGAGGAACCGAGTGTGCTAACTGCGGTATTTGCTATACACAACCTCTTTGATTTCGAACGTATGTATGTATGTAGTAGCGTATGATGTTGCTCGAGGGTAAAAAGGTGCGAATTTAAAACGACAGAAAGACTTGTATTATTTGTATACAGAAAAAAATATGTGCAAAGCAATACATAGAGAGAAAGAAAGAGAGAGAGAGAGAGATGAACAAAATTAATGACAATGATACATACGAGCAAAAAGTAAGTATATATATATATATATATATCACGCAAGCGAAATGCAGATGACGTCCATATTCTGAGAGCATACTAAAATATGTTTTTCTCCTAACGGGCAAGAAAAAAAAAAAGAAGAAAAAAAAAGAAAATAAAAGAAAAAAGATCACACGCGATATAATAAATTACATTAAGTAGTATTTAGGCCTTTTTAATACACCGATGCCAGCATTTAACTGCACTTGTCATTCGTCGCGTTATGTTTTAAACTGATTATAGTTTTATTATCTTCTTGTCTGCGTAATACGTATAGATACCATATAATAATACATTATTCTCTTTATAATTGTTCTTGAAAGCGTATTTTATCGAATACCATAAATACTATCCCGTTTGTTCGATAAAAACAAAATTATCTGACAATGAGGAAAAAAATTCACCGATTCTTTTGCTTTTCTGTATGTTATTTCAGTAGAAACAAAAAAAAAAAAAAGATGAAAAAGAAAGAAAACAAAAAAAAAAAAAGAAAGAAATAGAATGTGTTACGCATGACATATTTCATAAATGGTTAGAGCTGTGATAAGATTTGTGTTACACAAAATTCCATTTAACTTTGAAACGTTCATAATATATTATTATATTATCGATATTCATGCCGCTTTACTATTTGCACCTGCAATCGGAATATTAGATAATTTGCTTTAAACAAATCCTTCCTAGAAAAAAACTATACTGTTACGAGACATTTACGAAACATGTTACCGGTTTATCTAGTACTTTATTCTTAAAAGATATGCTTCATATAATCTGTTTTATAATACATGTTATTGAAATAAGAACTGAGATCAATTATTACATATTTATATATTATGAAAAATGATATTTGTATTCGTGATTTTACTTGAACATTTACTGTAATGGAATTATTAGCATTTTTTAAATTTATAGTTTAACACCTCGCGTTTTAGTTATTTCGAATTTATTTGTGCAACGGCGCGTTAACAAAAGTCTAATATAATATAAACAGAGTATTTCATATGTTTAAAAGTATTTAAGAATTTTACTATTTAGTTAAGCCAATATATAATATGTCGTTATGTGACATATTAAACATGTTAATATTTTAAGATAATATCGATGGAAATTTACTATTTATGTTGTATTTATAATAACTCGCGTATAATAAGTTTTAGGTAGAAAATTAGGAGAAAGATGATCTGTTTTCTATAAATTGTAATTATTTCTGCGTGTGTTTATCACGTATTTAGTACACAACATCTTTGTATATATTGTACAAATTATTCTTACTAATTCTGTTATCAATCAAAACTAAGCGTAAACATACCTGCACATAAAAATAAATTGTATTGGAAAATATGTCACTTTGTGATGCAGGTCACAGATGTAACATTCTATGATACATTGAGATGTGCTGTGAAATATAAATTTATTGATGAAGATTCATTACTTTTAAATGTTGCATTTAATAAGTACCTTAAATTAATCACACACTTTGTTTAGTTTAGTTTTCTATGCATTTTCCCACCAACTAAGTAAACCGAGACCAGGTTCGTCTATTGCACCCTGTGCGATTTTAAGCAACGAAGAAAATTAAATAGCAGAAGCATTGAATATTAACAAATATAATACGTTCAATTGATTTGCACTTACATTCAGACTATAAGGTGATACATTGCTAGCCTCAGTTTTTTCAACATTTTGATTAGAATTTCTAGGACCCGTTGGTAATGTTTCCTTAAAATCTTCTTCGAATATACGGAATCTAATGCTTTCACCTATAAAATTTAAATTACTCGATAAGGAAAATAATCAAAAGCAAAATGATTACGAATGATATATACCTGGATCCATAAAAAGATCATGTTTTCCTCCATCTCCAGTATCATATTCCCAAATCCATACTTGTTCTACTTGATCGAATCGAGATGCATGCTGTAATTTGTGAGGCGGAATGAGAATGTCCTCGAAAAATCCTAACGTTACTAAAATAGAAATGAAAGTTGAAATTTTAATGCACATATATGCATTATTATTATTATTATATAAAAACATAAACTATTATGTTTCTATTATACAGAAAAAAAACAAAATATCTTCAGAGATAGTTAACTTTATTACCATATACACCATCGGCACTACAACTACGTATTTTTCCTATTAAAATTTCTTCCATAAATGGACGGAACACTATAAACCTAAAGAATACTTTTGTATGAGAAGAACCATCTCCTGGAAAAATATATGATTCTTCTATTTTTGTTATATCATGTAACGCAATACAAAGACCCACATTTAAATATACCTGAAATTTCAAATATATTATTCATATATTCGTATCATATTAAATAAAAAATAACAAATTTTTAGATTGCAGTAGTACCTTATTAGCTAATTTTCTATTTAATTCTTCAGTGATTGCATCATTCAATTTTCTTTTAAATTTCCACGGTGGTATTCTCACAGTATCTTTTAGTTCCACAAGTACAAACATCTTTTTAATTTGTTTATTTACAAACAAATTGACGAAGCACAATTTAAGAGGTTATATTTATCTATTAAATATAAATTTCGATCTTCTCTTCGCTGTATATTAATATCATCTACTAATTGAAAAAGATTATTACTCTTTTCCAAATTTATATTTTTATTTAATAAGATTTTTACATATATAAACAGTTCATCATACTTACCTAAGAATGTAAAAATGATAATTATGTGTGTGGTTATGTTAATTCAAAATATCCGCAATTACTTAATTGCCAAGCAATTGCAACGGCAAAATTGCAATGATTTAATTATAATTTTTCTTAAAAATATATTGTACATATATTTAACATTTCACTTAAATATGAATGACTGTGAAGACGATTATTTGATTCAAACAGTAAACAATAAGTAAACAAATCAAGTGAACTACTATAGAGAGGCACATGGACTTGAAAAAAATATTCCCTAAAGCCACAGTGCAGGAAAGTTAGCATAGAACCTGAACAGCAGAAACCAGTTCTGTTCTAAGACAATTGTTCTTAACGAGTAAACTCCTTTAATTAATAATTAAAACAAAATATCTATATTAGATTTTTACTTGTTATTTGCTTCTAAATGTATATAAAATTTAATTACACATTCACTTTGTATATAGTGCTAGTTATTAAAAGTTACTAGAAAATAAGAAAGTTTCAAATATATTGAATTTCTAGTAACATGGCTACGCCGAAAATGGTAATAGTAGTGCTCTACTTTTATCTTACAAAAAAATTTTCACCGCAGAAAAAAAAGAATAATTGCTCTTAATTGCTCACTAATTGCTCATTTAAAACCCAAAATTGCTCGCTTTATTTTCGCGATTTTTTTATTGTCGGTAATTCTGATGGTAAGTTACCATCAGATTTCAGTCGGTAAGTCGTATTACCGACAGTAAAAAAAAAACAGCGAAAATAAAGCGAGCAATTTTGGGTTTTAAATGAGCAATTAGTGAGCAATTAAGAGCAATTATTCTTTTTTTTCTGCGGTGAAAATTTTTTTGTAAGATAAAGGTAGAGCACTACTATTACCATTTTCGGCGTAGCCATGTTACTAGAAATTCAATATATTTGAAACTTTCTTATTTCCTAGTAACTTTTAATAACTAGCACTATACAAAAAGTGAATGTGTAATTAAATTCTATATACATTTAGAGGCAAATAACAAGTAAAAATCTAATATAGATATTTTGTTTTAATTATTAATTAAAGGAGTTTACTCGTTAAGAACGATTGTCTTAGAACAGGTACAGGAAAATGACTTACTAGATTAAAAAAAAACAAATCATATTGGAGCTAGAAAGACCGGAGGAAAATTGATTGAAAACAAAAGACAATAGACAACTTCATTGCTTTGCTTAGTAATGAGAAGAAACGTTTTTATTTTTTTAATTATTAATAACTAATTAAATAATTAATTGATAAAATGTGTAATTATTGATTTTAAATGTGCAATTAATGTGCAAATAAGAGCACTTATTTATTTTTTTCTGCTGTTCTTAGTTCCTTGGCAGCGGTTTCTACGATATATGCGACAACAAAAAGTTAGGAAATATCTAACCTGAACTTTAAACGTTGCATTTCAAAATGACTGTGCTGTTGTCACGCGTTTCTTTAAATATTCTGAAAAAAGAATACATGTCACACGTACGACCCGCTATTTTTTTAAATGCAGATCAATTAAATCAAGTAAGAAGTAACCACCTGTGTCGGAAGGAAAACAGAATTAATACTAGAAGTGGAAAACATTTGTTAACATATACGTTAGTCATTTCGGGTATCAGTTATTTCTTGTACAAAAAAAGAAATGATTTGTACGAACGATTCAGGGATCTCAATATTGGAATGCCTGTCGTCAGATCTGCGACCATTATACCTAATCTCGTGGATTATAGAGAGAGATATAATTTTATAGCAGATGTTGTTGCGGTATCAGCACCTTCAGTAGTGTACATAGAAATTTCTAATGATAAAAAGTAAGTAGAAAGGGGTACGTTTCTGTTCATTATTCACCTTATTCCTTGTACATACAATTTTATTAATTTATATTCTAAAATATTCATATTTATATTTATCTATTTAAAGTTATTAATTTAAAAATAGATTAGATATGTTCACAGGAAGACCTATTGGAGCTAGTACTGGTTGTGGATTTATTGTCTCTTCCGATGGTTTGATATTAACTAATGCTCATGTTGTTATGAGAAGACGCAATAGCAAAGTAAAGGTTCATACAATGTTATATACAATCTTATTATTTAGAGAATATTTTCTAACGATACCTATGTTTTACTTACAAATATTATTTATTTAGGTTCGTTTGCATGATGGAACTGTATATAATGGTATAATAGAGGATGTTGATATGCAGAATGATCTTGCAACTTTAAGAATTAATAAGGTAAAACTTGGTTTATCTCTAAACTAATTTATATTTATATATATATATATTCCTATTTAAATAGAGAGGAATTCTCCAGTCAATCTTTTTCGCTAATGTCTACTTATTAGAATTAAATGTGTTCATTATCAAGTATACGTCATATAAGTAATAAATTGTTTATATTTACAGAAAGATTTACCAGTAATGAAACTTGGTAATTCGGCAGATATTAGACCTGGAGAATTTGTAATCGCTATTGGTTCTCCTCTATCATTGAGTAACACCATAACTAGTGGAGTAGTGAGCAGTACAAATAGACCAAGTGAAGAACTTGGTCTGGATAAGAACATAATGTATATTCAAACAGATGCTGCAATTACTGTTAGTTATAATGAAATTAATAAAAATATTAAAATATTCTACACGTTTTTATAAAAAAAAGCTGTGTATATTTTTAGTATGGAAATTCTGGTGGTCCGTTAGTGAATTTAAATGGGGAAGCAATTGGGATTAATGCCATGAAAGTTACGGCAGGTATTTCTTTTGCTATTCCTATAGATTATGCGAAAGAATTTTTAAAAAAGGCAGAAATTCGTAGAAAGAACAAAGGTAATTTAATTTAATTAATTAATTAATTAATTAATTAATTATACTTGTCTAAACACTTTGTTCTATTATAATTATGTTTCTTTGAAGGTAAACTTCCTGATCCGATAGAAACACATAAAAGAAGATATATGGGTATAACGATGTTAACTATTTCTCCTGATATAATCTTTGAATTACAAGACAAAAGGGGCTATTCTTTAGACATGATCAAACATGGAGTATTTGTCTGGAGAGTAATAACAGGTTCCCCCGCTTACAAGTAATTATTAATATTAAACATTCTCTCTATTATTTATATGTTATCCATTTCATTATTTATTCTCATTAATTAAACATTGATATACTTTTATTTTTGACCAATCTAGAAGTGGGATACAAGCTGGAGATATAATTACACACGTTAATGGTGAACCAGTATTTGCCGCTGTGAATATATACAAAGCATTAGAAAGTAGCGGATCACTGAAATTGACGGTCGTTAGGCACAGGGATGTTCTCGTTATAACAGTGGATCCCGAAGATTGAGCTATTGCAAGCTTATTATATACATTTGGCATACCTTGATTAAATAACAAATCAGTGAATTAACAGAGTTTATTAAAAAGACAATAAAAAAAAGATCAACGATATATATATACATATATAAATGTGTATAAATTAATTGATCAATGAAAAAAAAGGAAGAAGATAAAATGATTTCTCGTTTATTCGCTTGCTCGCTTGCTTACTCGCTCGCTCATTTACTTTCATTCTCTTTATCTCTTTCTCTTATAATAATAATCATTTTTCACGTACCTGTTTCATATCCACCCTGCTGTTTCAAATATAAGAAAGACCGATGCGAAGCCGAGCTCGAACGTTAAAACGAGCAGTTACGATAGGGTTCCTCGGTGTTTATGTGCTCGTACATACACCGGGTGTGGTCTTTCGGACTGGACGGCATTACGTTCGCGTTGTTTACGACATAAGGCGACCTCCACAAATATGTGACCGGATCTACGACGGTGCCTGCTTGGACGTGGGTGTACTCTTCGTGATTTTTAAATTCAATTATTTTACTCTCCTTGGATCCTGTCCCAACCAGGACGCACTTAATAAGGGGGTTGGGGTGGGGGAAAGAATTCTATGTCCTTGAATGTTAAAACCTTTTTTTATTTTTATTTTCCTCTCGGTAGAATCGGCTTGGAAGAATTTTTTGACAACAGAATTATACCATAAGTTTTTCTTTCAATTCCATATAAGATTACTTTGAATAAACAATAAGAGTTGGTAATCTTGTTCCCTAAGAGTATTATCATCAATTCACGCCTAGTCCTTTCTTTAATGTTTCTTTTATCCTTACCCTCTTCTTCTTCTTCTTCTTCTTCTTCTTCTTCTTCTTCTTCTTAAGCGTCAAGCGTTATTCTATTCTCTGATTATCCACGCTTTTCACTCGACTATCTTCGCCTACGAACCATCTCGAGCCCTTCCCACGTAGTAAAAGTACCTATACGTTGTTCAGTCCTCGTTGGTAGCGCGAAAACAAATAGACATCCGTGAGATGGCTTCGGATTCGCTGCTGCTGTTGCTTCTTCTTCTTCTTCTTCTTCTTCTAGCAAAGGTAGAAAGGGAAGAGAGAGGGTATGAACGAGATACACGCCCGATTGTCTCCACCTACACACTCCTGCTCGCGTTCACGAGCTTTTCCAACGACGAATGACCCTGTAAAGATACCCTTTAAAGGATCGAATACACTAGCCACGTTCTTCTTCGATATTTTTTTTCTTCCTTTACGAGTTCAACGACCTTCGAGGGAATCATTAAACGTTCTCGTAAAAAACCGAGACGTACTTTGGTGCTTGCTTTCCTGAGAACAATAGTTAAAGTTCTTTTTATATGAAAATTTGTTACCAATGAAGAAATATATAATAATCTATCTGTTGAGATCATACAGACACATATACAGTAGATGTTGAAGAGAGATATATATTTTATTAAAGGTAAAATCAATTGGGATTAATTGAGAAGATCAGTCACGCCCAAGTTTACTTAGATCACAAGTTGAAGTATCTTTTAACGTGTAAAGTAGCTTGCTGTTCAAAGTACAAGTGGTATGTCCGGGTCAGGTACGGTGAATAACGTCAAGGCTGAGGGTCGCGTGATTTTATTACGGTTAGGGCGAAAGATACTACTACTACTACTACTACTACTACCATCACCACTCGCTCGTCTTTGCGGTTGGTATAAGAAGAAAAAATAAAAGGAAAAGATAACTCTGAAAGAAGGTCCTGGATAGCTAAACGATTCTTTCAATTTACAGTGACCATGTATATATATATATATATATATATACACGTATTTACTTGCATACCTTTATCAAGGACTAACGAATTATTTTCTTTTTCTCGATCGAAATTGTCTCTCCGTTATTTGTCTCGAAAATTTATTCTGATTGTAATTTTTACGAGAGAGAGAGAGAGAGACAGAGGAATAGCTTTTGTATATAATTATGTTTTTATTATAAAATAATGAAGCTTAATATATTTCAATGAGTACTTGTGTAATAAAATATAAATATGCAATCCTATATATGATACACAATTCTACAATTATTATAATTAAATTATTCACATCAGTTGTATTTAATCAAACCCTTTTTTTAAAACAAAAACGAGAAAGAAGTATTAGAGAAAAATAAAATGGGAAAAGGATAAAAGAAAAGAACATATAGGATTGAACGATGAGAAAAAAGTTTCTTTTTTGCCCGAGGTACAATTCGGATTCTTTCTGACACTCGTGTTTGCATTTACAGTTTGTAGGGATAGGAACTTTTGGAGACGTTGTTGATCCATGAAAAAGAAAGAAAGAAAAAGGAACAAAATGGAAGAATGAACGTACGGTTTACCAATAAAGAAAATAAAAGTACGGGGGAGAAAAAAGAAAATATATATATATATATATATATATATATAT